AATATTATTAATAGTACTTTTTTTCATGTTATAGATAGAGTAATTTTTCATTTCAACATGTAACGATCCTATCGGTCGTTTTGAGCTCTAGCGCGTCATTCAGCGGTTCGAGACCCTGAGCAGCTTCACTTCAGGTATTATGACTTGTACGCATGGTTGGAATTTAATTTCGGGAAGTTCAGAGTTTATTTGGAAAGATAATTCTAATTTCAAAAGTCTTAAGTTGGGGAAATTGACTAAAGTGTGACTCGGAATTGGGATTTGAAGGTTCCAACAGGTTCGTATGATGAATTTGGACTTAGATGTATGTCCGGATCGGGTTTTGGATGATCGGGGAGCGTTTCAACGTCTATTGTGGGAGGTTGGCATTTTGGAAGAATTTCATAAATTTGAGTTGAAGTGTATTTCAATGAAAACAACATCCGTTTGGGATTCCGAGTCTGGGAATAGCTCCGTATGATGATTCTGGTCTTAGGAGCGCATCCGGAAGTGGATTTGGAGGTCCGTAGGTCATTTGGGCGAAAGTTGGAAATTTGGATAATTTTAAGAAGTTTGACCGGGAGTGAACTTTTTGATATTGGGATCAAAGTCCGATTCCAGAAGTTGGAATAGGTCTGTAATGTCGAATGTGGCTTGTGTGCGAAATTTGAGGTCAATCGGACGCGATTTGATAGGTTTCGGCATCGATTTTAAAAATTTGAAGTTTCAAAGTTCATTAAGATTGAATTGGAGTGCGATTCATGATTTCGATGTTGTTTGATGTGATTTGAGGGCTCAAGCAGGTTCGTGTTATGTTATTGGACTGGTTGGTGTGATTAGACGGGGTCCCGGGGGCCTCGGGTGAGTTTTGGATGCTTAACCGGTCGATTTTTGGACTAAGAAAAATGCTAAGGCAGCTGGTATCTGGTGTAACCGCACCTGCGCGGTTTTGGCTGCAGGTACGGAGCCGCAGAAGCGGCCAAGAGGGTCGCAGAAGCGGGTCTCGCTGGGGAAGGCTGGGACCGCAGAAGCGGGATTGCACCTGCGCACGAAGAGCCGCAAAAGGGCTGTCAGGCCGCAAATGCGGGAAACGTTGAGCTAAGATTCAACCTCACCTGCGATGGAATTTTTGCAGGTGCGGAGCCGCAGAAGAGGCTATTGCACCTCAAATTCGAGGATCGCTGGGTAGTGAGGTTTTATAAAATGTGGTTTTTGCTCATTTTCACTTCATTTCGTCCATGGGAGCCGACTTTAGAGCACATTTGGAGTTCCGTCTTCATCAACTATATGGTTAAATACTGTGTAGGAATTGGATGGTTTTTAGAGCACATTGTGAGTTAAATACATGATTTTTACATGGATTCAAGCATGAAAATTTGTAGGAATTGATTATCAATTTTAAATACATGGTTTTTACCCGAGGGTTGCTCTATTAATGTTTCGAGTGAAGTTGAAAGTTGTTATAAATTGATTAATTATGAATATTAGAGTATATTTTAATTGGGCTGCATCTTATTTGATTAGTTTTGGATGGGCGGGTATTGGTTTGAGGTGTTAGAGAGGCTTTGGAGCCGGTTATGAAATTTCGAAGCGAGGTAAGCCTCCTGTCTAACTCTGTTAGGGGGAAATTACCCCTAGGTGTTGTATATTGATATGTGCTACTTGTTGTGGAGGCTACGTACGCGCGAGGTGACGAGAGTCCGTACGTAGCTACATTCATGTTATTGTCCGGGTAGGCTTAGGTTCACATCATGCTATAGCTGTATTATTTGAGCAGTCTCTCGCCTATTAAATTCCTC